TTCCTGCTGTGATGCGGTGGGGCCCATCACCCTCCTCCTGCTCCCCCATATGCATGTGGCCCCTCGCCCTCCTCCCACTCCCCACAGCCCCAAGCAGCCCTTGTAGGCTGGAACTCTGCCAGCCTCCACGGTGACATCCATGGCTTCCTGGGTTTTTTTCTCCTTTAAAAGTGAAAATATATGGTTTTCTCCTTAAAGGAGAAAAGCCACGTTTTTCCACAGGAAACGGAAAACCCGGATCCCTGCTGATAACTGCCAACATGCACACACTAATGCAAGGCAAGTGCAAGACAGCTTGCCCCTCAGTTTAAAAGAAGGGGTAAAAAGCATGTGCATGGTCAGGCTCTTAGGTAGACACACTGTTAATTCACACTCCAGCTTATTTTTCTGTAACCTGTTTGTGGGACCATAACTACTGACTGGCTTAATTACCCTTACTGAACAAAACCCTGTGTTACTCAGACCTCTTTTCTCATCTAGTTCAGAATAAGCTGACCCAAGAAATAAATCTAGGATTTTGGGGAATTGTTTCTACAAATTGTTTAAAATTGTTTTGGGGAATTCTTACTTCCCTGGTGAATTATGACTTAACTGCAGCAAATAGTAGGTCTGACTGGACATACCTGGAGCGGGCTGCAAGAATAGCCTTATGGGCTGGTCTTGGATGGCCATCTAACAGTAGAATGATATCACAGAACTCCATCCCAGCTCCTTCTAGATAAGCCTTCATGTCCTGAATCAAAGATGTGCCTGAAGAAAACAACATAGTGAGGTGGTTAAAAATAAAACATTCCACATGATTAGCTTCTATAAAGTTAACAGAAGGCTGAACCACTTCTACAACAGGTTTTCCTTTAGAAGGTGATTGGCAAATAGACACTTCATTAATCCTTAGAGCAGAACATGTTTAATCCCAGCTAGTGCAGTTGCTCCAGACTGTGCAACGGTTGTTAAGCTGTAACTGCTACATCTACATCATCCTGTAGCAATAAAAAAAAAAACTAACTTTGACGCTGAATAAAGCAGGGATAAAGTTGGAGAGGTTTTGCTATATTTTTACTTTTACAAAATCATGCAGAGGTAACATCTGTTCGTAACAGCTTGTTTCAGTATCCATCCTTCAATAGCAATATAATCTTTCTCTACCTTGGATCACACCTTGATGGGGATGTTTGGCTTCTCTATCAT